ATCGTTTTAGGGTATAATGTAAATAGTATGGTCCCAACACTGACCTCTGCGGAACTCTACTAATCACCAGCTGCCATTCTGAAAAAGACCCCTTTCTCTGCCTTCTGCCAATCCTTTATCTATTATAATACTTTGCCCCTAACACATGGGCTCTTATTTAGCAGCCTCCTGTACGGCATTTTGTCAAAGGCTTTCTGGAAATCCAAATAGATCGTGTCATTTGTTCTTCTTTTATCTAACTTGTTCGTTGCCTCCTCAAAGAATTCTAACAGATTTGTCAGGTATGACCACCTCTTTACAAAGCTATGCTAACTCAGCCCTATTTTATCAAGCACTTCCAAATACTTCACAATCCAGTCCCATTTGCCTGCATTTTGTCCATATCCTCTAGACCTTTCCTATCCATGTCTAAATGTTGTAACTATACTCTGCATTTACCACTTCTTCTGGTAGTTCATTTCCATATGTCCAGCACCCTCTGTGAGAAGAAGTTGCCCTTCCGATCCCTTTCAAATCTTTCCCCTCCCACCTTAAAACTATGCCCTCTAATTTTAGACTCCCTATCCTAGGAAAAAGACCTTTTGCTATTCACCTTATCTATGTCCCTCACGATTTTATAAATCTATAAGGTCACCCCTCAACATCGTACACTGCAGGGAGAAAAGAATCCCAGCTGATCCAGCTTCTCCTTATGACTCAAAGCCTCTAAGTCCCAGTAACATCCTTGTAAATTTTTGTACCCTTTCCAATTATAGAAGCTCCATGCAAACAGCTTCACCTACGTTCCTAACATCCTTGCAACAAAACTGGTTTGGATCAACTACTCACTGCTTTCTTTCTTTCTCTTGTTGATCTATTTTTATTTTAAGTAAATGACCCACTTTTCTATTGGGCAGATGCTCATTCCCTTTGTGTATTTCTGTCCATTTCACAGCAATCCTAGTCACGACCATATTCCACACAATTAACACAGCCTATTACTTCCAACATCTTTTACTTTTTTAAACCACTTTTGGGTCCTCCCTCTAATCTTTCTGCTACCAATGACTGGAATTCCTAATCAAAATATTCATCTGGCTACAAGCTCTGGGTTTGTTGCTTTGCTCGCTTCATTATCTAAAGGTGCTACTGTCCTCTTGCACCCAAAACCCTTAAACTATCAAAATGTTTACCTCTGCACTATCCATAACCATAATGTCTGGGAGGTAACAGTAATAAATCATTAACTATTACTTTAATTCAATTTTGTATTAATATTATTCACAGTTTAGTTTTAATGTTAGACTTTTTGTGTGAATTGCTGGCTCTTGAAATATCAAGCAGGTCACATTGTTGATATGGACCAGACTCAGATTCATCCTGATCAGTTTCCAAGGACTGAGCTGATCCAGGGTATGGACTGGTCTTAGGAGAAGCTGCAGGGTGGTAGTGGACCTGTTGATACCTTCTCTCAAATTCCTGCTATTAATGGATGTTATAAGCTCAGCTAATGTTTAGAAAAATCAAGCCAATGAGTGAGCTCAAGCTTCTTAAAGAATTTGTTTCCTCTTGCCACTTAGTGTGCAGAATACAGGACAAAAAAAAATACAGGAGACAACGTGGTTCCTTGAATTTTAGTGTGAAGTGAAGTGGACTGATATACATACAAACAAGTGGATCTTAACTGCATAGCCAGTTGGATGTTTAAATACTTTGGACATAGATCATAGAATACCTCCAGTGTGGAAACAGGCCCTTCGGTCCAACAAGTCACCCACCTAATCTACACATGCCTGAACACTACAGGCAATTTAGCATGGCCAATCCACTTAACCTGCACATCTTTGGACTGAAGGAGGAAACCGGAGCACCTGGAGGAAACACACGCAGACATGGAGAATGTGCAAACTCCACACAGATAGTTGCCTGAGGGTGGAATCCAACCCAGGTCACTGGCGCTGTGAGGCAGCAGTGCTAACCACTGAGCCACCGTGCTGCCCCTTGTAGTATAAAACAATGGTATAGGGAAATGGGAGCATAGGTTGGTAGCAAAGCAAGAATAACATCCTGGTACTAATGGGGTTTGAGTTTTATGAGGAAACTGAGCAGTATAGGTTGGATGCAGCTAGTATAGGACATGGCATGTTGCTGCAGCAACTTAGGTACATGGAATTATCGTGCTACCACCATATGCAATATCAACCCATCACATGGGTTAAGAACTGACATCTCATTTCCTTGTTTGGAACGAAATCAGTTCTGTCGTTTTACCTTTTGCTTGTTGGCTGTCCCATTAGAATTCTCACTAGATCAGGTCACTAGGAGGATGGGGGAAACTTGATAAATTTAACTTGTTCAGAGGATGTGGGCATCACTGGCTGGGCCAGCATTTTTCTCATCGTTAAATTGTCGTTGAGGATGATGGTGAACTGTCTTCTTGGACTGCTGAAGTCTATGTGCTATAGGTAGACCCAAATGCCATTAGGGAGTTTCAGGAACAGAAATAAATTGCTGGGAAAACTCAGCAGGTCAGGCAGCATCTGTGGAGACAAAGCAGAGGTAACTCTTCAGGTCCAGCGAACCTTCAGAATCTGTGTTCTTGTAGCCAGTTTTTATATGGCTATCCCGGTTCAGTTTCTGGATAATGATAACTCCCCCGCCCAGCATGTTGATGATGAGGAATTTGACACTAGTAATGCCATTGAATGTCAAAGGACAATAGTTAGATTCTCTTGTTGACGAACTGCTGCAGTGTGCTCTGGAGCTAGGATTAAGTATAACCAGTAGAGATTTCCCAGATTCTCATTTTGCTGGGCTTCTCAATGATTCATTCCATCTAAGAGCTGATCTACTGGTTGTGGAATTGCTTAGCTCTGCCTGCCACCTTACTCTTTAGCACACAAGTTTTGCAGGTTGATACTTCATTTTCAGGTGTGTCTGGTGCTACTCCTGGCCTGCCCTCTTCATTGAACTTGGCTTCATGCTAATGGTAGACTGGGGGACTATGCCAGGCTATAATGTTGCAGTTTGTGTTTGATAATTCTGCAACTGATGGCCCACAATGTCAGTTTTGAGTAGGTAGATCTGTTTAAAAAATTAGCATGGTGACAATGCACACAACAGGATAGAGGGTATCCTCAATGTGATGATGGGACTGTCTCCATAAGGACTGTTCAGTAGTCACTTCTACTACTACTGTATTGGGCAGATGCATCTGTGGCAGGCACTGGCTAAGGATAAGGTCAAGTGTATTTTTCCTTTTTTGTTGGTTACCTCACCACCTGCCACAGATCCAGTGTAGCAGCATTATCCTTTAGGACCTGACCAGCTCGATCAATAGTGCTGTTCCTGATCTACTTGGTGATGGGTACTGAAATTCTCGTCTTGTCCCCCCCCCTCCCCGTACTTTCTGTGCACTCACCACCATCAGTCTGAACTCCAAGTAGGAGCAACATGGAGAAGTACAGATTCATCAACAGAGGACAAGGCAAGGGCAGGAGTGTGAAGTGATCTGCAGGAGCTTTCCTTACCCATGTCTGACATGCCATGAGACTTCTTGGGATATGTAGTCAATGGTTAGGACTCCAGACAACAGCTGCTTCAATGTTCCACACACAGTGATTAGAGAGCCAAAGCCTCTTTCAGCATTGGTTTGTGGTTCCAGAAGTTGCTGACGTGCACAGGCTTCCGAGGTCTGTACAACAGCCACACCTGTCTGCTGTTTAGTTCCTGTATGTTTCTTCCTCAGCTGTAATTAAACTCTCTGCATAGCGAGTGTTGACACCATCTCAGAAAACACTAGCTCCCATCAAAGCTGCTGACAGACCTAGCTACAATGGCCCATCATTGGACAACAACCTTAATACAAGAGTTGATGAATCTGAGCAGCAATGACTGGGCAAGAGGATAGAGAATACCAAAGGACCAGCCCCTTCTTTTCTAAAATATGATCTCAAGTAGCATCATTTAAAATATTGAAGGAAATTTCCTGAGATTTAATCAATAAAAGTTAACTATGGCACAGGACTGAGGAATATCACAGCAGCAAAAGTATCCACAGCCTTCAGAACAAAATGAAAGATTACAAATATTGTTCTGTAACGACGCTGGTCTGGCAGCATCTGTGAAATTAATGTTTCAAATGCAATATGACTCCCCCTTTTGGTCTCAAAATTTAACTCTATTTCTCTCTTCACATGCAGTACTATTTTAGACATCACCTACTCCACCTTGTCCTGCCTTGCTTTTTTCTGTAAACCGTGGCCCAATTCTGAAGCAAGTGCAGCTGGGTCCTCCGTTACCACCCACACACACACACACACCCCCCCCCCCCCCCCCCCAACAACAATGTACAAACAATACAAACAAAATGCACCTCCAAGGCAAGCAAAGAAATAGAAACTGGGCAATCCGGTATATACTACTCAAGCAATTACTACAGCCAGTCTCCAAAGCAGGTAAAGGGAGACATCTAGTAGGGGAACAAAACCCTGTGCTAGACTCCATCGTCCTTTGCTTTTCATGTTCATAAAGGGGTAACGTGGATGTCAGAACAATATTAGAAAAGATTGGAATTCCACTCAAAGTTAGAAAAATCACCCCTTGGTCCTTATATAATTGCTTTCCAATGACTTTGGACCCCTTCTTGTTGGAAATTTCCATGTGTTGCCAATACTTTGCCTATCAATGAAGGTACAGTGATATATGCCCAAGTCAAGATGGTGTGCAATTTGGGGGTCAGAAATTGAAGCCAATGGTGTTTGCATATCAGTAAACAAAGTTGTTGATTCAGCAAACTGCTATTTCCCAGATGGTATCAAGCATAATATGTACTGTTACAGCTGCATCTCTATAGGCCAATGGTATATATTTCAACACATTCCCGATTTCTGGTACCTGGTGGAGAGTTGGAATAAACATTATAAACTCTCGTGGCCCCTCCACTGATAACTATGCTTATAGTTAGTGCACCTCTGTGCAGATTTATATTAGTACAATTTTTTTAAAAAAGCTCAATATGCTAAAGAAAAATATTTTATTTACAAGAAAGCATACTGTAACCAATTTTTAATACAAAATTGGGTCTGCAAACATTATCCTTTGAGGAAAGGCAAGGTCATTGAGAACATAACATTCGATAAGTTAATCAACTCCACCTAAAAGATTACTCTACGTGCTTTATGTTTGGGGCTGGCTTTCTCTGATGAGGTGCACTGTACACACGGTATCAGTACGACGGTCTTATTTGATCCCAAATGTGCCTTTGATAGCAAAAAGAGCGAGCAGAAGGTTCCTGGTTTCTTCCTGTTTGGGGACTATTGAATGTGGCTGGAAAACGTCAATCTTGGGTTTGCTCCTTATCACAGTTCAGTTACACCTGCTGGAAGCTGCACAGGGCTGAACACTGGGCAGGGCCAAGACCACACTTAGCTACACCTGTATATTAGCTCTTACTGACATGTGCTGTGTGGGCTAATGCAAAGATTCGGTACCTCACTCAAGTAATCAAAGAGGAAAGGTTGCCATGGGAAGCTTCTTGTAACTGTGGACAGTACGGTTGTCAGTTGCTTGCTTTCACTCAATTGACCTGAATACTTCCCATAATTGATGATATGAGGAAGCAGTTGAGTGTTTCCATTCACAACCACTGGTTAATTTATGCTGTCAAGACTACCCACAAGGAATTTACACATTAAATTCTAGAAATGCAAAAAAAAAAATTCTTGTAACGAATTCACTGATTTCACAGCCAAAAAACAGAGTCATCATTTACTTCCCAGGCTTTCAAGTCCAGTCTTCTGCTGTTCTCTCCATCTGATGATCAACTCCAGCAGTTCCTTCAGCTCCAGTATCTCAGATGCCATTCTGGCAACAAGATTTTCCTAAATATAAAACAGATGGTCTACGGATGACAGCAGTTTTTATTAATTATCTTTGTTTGAACAGAAGACATGGGGAACTGAATTGTTCTTCAAAGGCAAGTACAGCATGAGGTTAGATCCAGAATACAGCACCCTCGACATTGTCCACTAACACTCCCAGTACAGGGATTGATATAGAGTAAATCAACCTCTTCTCTCTTACACCAAAAGTAAACAAAGTAGAGCTCTCTCTCTTCAAGGTCCCCATCAAACACTCAGAACGGGGATAGCACAGGGTTAGATACAGACTGAAGCTCCCTCTACACTGTCCCCATCAAACACTCCATGACAGGGATAGTATGGGGTGAGATACTGAGTAAAACTCCTTCTATTTGTTTACACTAAAAATAAGCAGAAAGTAAAAGTCGTCTCTACAATGTCTCCATCAAACACTCCCTGAATAGATACAGCATGGAGTTAGATACAGCGCAAAATCCCTTTCTACATTATCCCATCCGAGACTCACTTTTAATTGGTGCTGCATGATTCAGACCGAATGTTTGATGGGAAACTGACTTTGTATCTCATTTGGATTGTGATACCGAGTGACTGAAATGGAAACTGTTGTTCCTGATAAAAATAGAGAAATAACATTAAGGCAGTTGGAAAAGAAACTAAGAAATTTCCCCTGCTTACTTACCATCATCTTCACTTTCTTGGTCACCTGAGGGATGGTCTTTATCAACTGCAGGTTGGAGTCCAGTTTCTCAATGAAATTAACCATCATCGGCAGGAGTTCAGAGACATACCTAGGAAATGTTAATGTGATTAGCAGCAAGATGAAAGTAGCAAAGGGTTCAGTCTTGATTCGTGCTTGGAAGGTTACTAACTGTATCTCGACTGACAATAATCCCAATTGTCTCACATCATCATCCGGCAACATCTCTTCCCTCCTTCTCCCACCAAGTGGGCAACATTACTATCGTTACTGATGATAACCCAGACCCCTCAAAGTCAGTAACCCGTCACCCTAGCACCTTATGTTGCTAATTGTCTTTACCCAGCTCTCTCACACTTTTGGATTTTTAGATGAAAAGGAAGACTTGCATTTATTTAGCACTTTTCATAACCACAGGATGTCCTAAAGTACTTTACACGCAATGCAGTATTTAAACAGTGGTCATAAATCTCATGATGAGATAATCTGTTTTAAAGCTGGCTACATACAAACGTGAAAATTGCTGGAGGACGACAGACCGTGGTCACTTGAGTTCACTTTTGCAAGTACTGCACGGAGTGGCAGTCACCCTGAGGGTGGGGCTCGAAGATATAGTCACCTGCCTTGGTGAGTTCAGTGCTCCCCAGCTGGGCCAAAACTTGAGTTTCTAAAAATAAAATTATTTTTCTCACAATACTCTCCAGAAAGATTCAGATGGTTCCCTTTGCAAGATACAGCATTTGTGTGGAAATGTTGATTGGTAGATACCAAACCTCTCCAGAAAGGGAAGAATAATGATTTGAACAATGTGCCAATCTTCTCTAAGTCCATGTTCACTCTTGCCTATCAGGAATTTTACCGCAACAACAATTACAACACCACCCACAAAACCTCATTAAAATCAGACTAAGATTGCAGAATCCACATTCTAATCCCACAGAATCCAAATGGGTTTGCTGCAGATATTGGTTTTGAGCTGTGGAAGATTCCACGTGTCCTAACTGTATTTATTACCATGGTACTGACACTGTGAAACCCAGTTGCAACTGGGATATCCTACAACTCACCTGTGACAATTGGCTTCAACAGGGAGGCACTGATGGCAAATAGGCTGCACTAACCGCTGCTTCAGCGACACCGTCTCCTGCAAGATCGCCTCCAAGTGGCTGTTCATTGACTGAAGCTGACTGCACTTCTCAGCTATCAATACAAGAGAGAGGCAGGTTAAAAATCTAATGCGACAGCGTTGAATTCCTGACGTGAAGTGCACATTACAACACCAAATCATCGCTAAGATAACAAGGTGTACAGCTGGATGAACACAGGCCAAGCAGCATCAGAGGAGCAGGAAAGCTGACTTTTTGGGTCTAGACCCTTCTTCAGAAATGGGGGTGGGGAAGGGGATTCTGAAATAAATAGGGAGAGAGAGGGAGGTAGATGGAAGATGGATAAAGGAGAAGATAGGTGGAGAGGAGACAGACAGGTCAAGGAGGTGGGGTTGGAGCCAATAAAGGTGTTTAGGGAGGGGATAGGTCAGTCCAGGGAGGACAGACAGGTCAAGGAGGCGGGATGAGGCTAGTAGGTAGGAGATGGGGGTGGGGCTTGAGGTGGGAGGAGTGGATAGGTGGGAGGACAGGTTAGGGAGGCGGGTACGAGCTGGGCTGGTTTTGGGATGCGGTCGAGGGAGGGGAGATTTTGAAGCTTGTGAAGTCCACATCGATACCGTTGGGCTGCAGGGTTCCCAAGCGAAATGAGATGCTGTTCCTGCAACCTTCGGGTGGCCTCGTTGTGGCACTGCAGGAGGCCCAGGATGGACATGTCGTCCAAGGAGTGGGAGAGGGAGTTGAAATGGTTCATGACTGGGAGGTGCAGGGGTTTGTTGCGAACCGAGCGTAGGTGTTTCACAATGCGGTCCCCAAGCCTCCGCTTGGTGTTCCCGATGTAGAGGCGGCCACAACGGGAACAGTGGATACAGTATACCACATTAGCAGATGTACAGGTGAACATCTGTTTGATGTGGAAGGTCCTCTTAGGGCCTGGGATGGGGTTGAGGGGGGAGGTGTAGTACTTCCTGTGGTTGCAGGGAAAAGTGCCAGGGGTGGTGGGGAGTGTGGAGCGGACAAGGGAGTCATGGAGAGAGTGGTCCCTCCGGAAAGCAGATAAGGATGGGGAGGGAAAAATGTCTTTGGTAGTGGGGTCAGATTGCAGATGGAGGAAGTGTCGGAGGATGATGCGTTGGATGCGCAGTGTCTTTCCTCTCCCCACTCATCTTGAAAGTGCTACTTCACACTGGATAGCATTTTACACCTGGCAACTTGCCTAAAATGCCCTTTCTTCATTGAGAATCAGCAGGACATTCAACCAAGGATCAAAGGCAGGAACCTTGGCTGATTTGCTCTAAGAGTAAGACAGTTAACTTCGTACAAGCAGAGGTGGTGAACTTGGAAATTTCAGAATTTTCTGCACACGATCCACAGCAAATTCTGCTAAACTCATTTAAGCACAGCCAGCACATCAGCGGGGATAAGCACAGCTGGCCTCCTGGATCTAGTTGGTTCTGATTCCTAATCTCTCAGATTCTCACACTCTCTGAATACTTAGTACTCGCATATTTGCCTCCGCAGCAGTCTATCTCACATACTATGCAAAAAAACTGTTCACCTTTTAATTTGGGCTATGTACAAGAAACATTTGATAGATTTTGGTAGAGGTGCAGCATACAGCAGACGCGTGATTATAGTTTTAGATGAGCAATCAGAGTTCAACTCCCTCAGAGCAGGTCATGAAACATAATTCAATCAACCTGGTCATTTGCAGGTTGATAGAACGACACAGAAGTGGCATTAAAATCTCAACCAATTTCCAAGTGGGAAGAGATCCTCTCTGGTCAGGCCTATATGTCATTCCCGTGTCTTAAAAGAATGTGCCAACTCTACCAGCAAACTACCTGCCCCATTAGTATTTCACATGCACAGAATTACCCACAGACTTACCCAAATACATTGGGTGGGCAATGTCTGCTGTGTCATTCTGCAATTTTAGCAGCTTCAACTCCAAAGATTTCTGATAGAAATGAAGAAACATTAAATTACAGAACATAGCAGAGACTCAAATGTAGGATAGAGGACAGATAGATGTTTCACGTTTAGTTTACCTGCAATCATGTTATCAAAGTACATTTAGTAGAACCCTTATATTGTTCAGCTTTACTGTAACCTACATACATTATAGTACTTTAAAACACTGACTCTGCCTTAACTTCATTTGATAAAGGAATGCATCGTGGAATTTTGAACAAAAAGCTAACATGCTAAACAGTAAATGTTAAGAAGATCCAGTTTAACTTTTTTAAATTCATTTGTGGGACATGGGCATCACTGGCTGGTTAGCATTTATTGCCTGACCCTAGTTGCCATTGAGAAAGTAGTGATGAGTTGCTTTCTTGAACCACTGCAGTCCATGTGCTGTAGGTAGACCCACAATGCCCTTAGGAAGGGAGTTCCAGGATTTTGTCCCAGCGACAGTGGAGGTACAGTGATATATTTCCAAGTCAGGATGGTGAGTGAATTGGGGGCTAACTTGCAAGGAGTGGTGTTCCCACATATCTGCTCCCATGGCTCAGTGTCCTCCTTACATGCATTGATAGGAACATATTTGAGTGCCCCTTCACAATACAATCCTGTATAAACAAATGCTATTGCTGTTAGCGTATAATGACTAGGAGCAGGCAGTTACTTTTGGAATCTCTCCCTAACAGCATGGTGAGTGTAGCTACACCAAATGAACTGTGGTGGTTCGCAAAGGCAGCTCACCACCACCCTATCAAGGGCAACAAATGCTGGCACAGCCAGCAAAGCCCACTTCCCATGAATTAATAAAATATCCCCTTGTCCTCTACTGACAGGCCTTGATGGCATGGTTTCAAAACCTCTGCCAAATTTTTTTTTTTTTTTTTTTTTTGAAAAAGATATCCTTCTTGCACACTATCTTGGGACACAAATCGTTCAAATTCAAATGCTGTTGTGTTTGTCTTCTTCTTGTCCTTTATATAGTGAAGAATTATATTATCTGGAGCTATAATACCCAAGTAACTCAAATGACAAACCTGCTCAAGTTCTGCCCTGGTGTGTGAAATTTCATCTATTAGTCTGAAGCGTTGAACAAACGGCACTGTGTTTCCAAACTCCACCTTGTTTAAATCCAAAGTGTCCTGTTTCACAGAGGTAAAAGAATAACCTACGTCAATTTTTGGGAAACAAAACAAACACATAACTTCTAGCTACAATTACAATAAATTCACTTGCACCTCTCTAATGCTGCTGAATACGATGTTAGAAGTAACAACGACAACTTATGCTCAAGTTCCACACTACAGAAGACAAGGCCGAGTAGGAATCAGAAGGTAAGCTTTGATTTTAGAAAGCCTTTTACACACCACCAAGCACTGCTGTTTAGTCAGAAGGCTGAAAGAGGAGACAGCCCTAAGGGAGTGGTGGTCTAGGATAGGATGAAAAGATCACCTATCTGAAAGCCTTTCATCATGTTAGAGAGTAGGACTCCCCACGTGAGAGAGTTTGTTTCACTCAGCTAATGCAAATCATCTAGAAGGACAAAACATAAAGTGGCTCTGCAAGTCACTTCCGATCGCTGAGAAACAATCTTTACTGTAACATGGTAGACTGCTTAATAAGGTTAGATCACATGGGATCTGGGTGAGCTAGCCAATGGGATACAGAATCGGCTTAAAGGTAGGAGACAGAGGATGTCAGTGGAGGGATGCTTTTCAGACTGGAGGCCTGTGACCAATGGTGTGCCACAAGGATCAGTTCTGGGTCCACTGCTTTTTGTCATTTATATAAATGATTTGGATGTGAATATAGAGGTATGGTTAGTAAGTTTGCAGATTAAACTAACATAGATGGCTTAGTGGACAGTGAAGGAGGATATCTCAAGAGTACAACAGGACCTTGATCAGAGGGGCCTTTGAGCTGAGGTGTGGCAGAAGCAGTTTAATTTGGATAAATGTCAGGTGTTGCACTTTGGTAAGGCAAATCAGGGCAGAACTTATACAGTCAAAGGTAGGGCCCTGGGGAGTGTTGCCGAACAAAGAGACCTAACGGTACAGGTGCGTAGTTCGTTGAAAGCGGAGTTAAAGGTGCACAGGGTGGTGAAGGCGATGTTTGGTACACTTGCCTTTATTGGCCATAACATTGAGTATAGGAGTTGAGATGTCATGCTGCAGCTGTACAGACATTGGTGAGGCCACTATTGGAGTATTGCGTACAATTCTCATTGCCCTTCTATAGGAAGGATGTTGTTAAACTTGAGAGGATGCAGAAAAGATTTACAAGGATGTTGCTGAACTGGACGGTTTGAGCTAAAAGGAGAGGAATTTTGGAGTTTTTTCCCTGAATTTTTGGAGACAGGGATGACCTTATAGGGGTTAAAAGATCATGAGGGGCAGGGATAGGTTGAATATCCAAGGTCTTTTTTCCTTGAGTGCCGAGTCCAAAACCAGAGGGCATAGGTTTAAAGTGACAGGGGAGTGATTTAAAAAGGACCTGACGGATAACTTTTTCACGCCAAGGGTAGTGCATGTCTGGAACGAGCTACCAGAGGAAACGGTGGAAGCTAGTACAAATACAATATTTAAAAGGCATCTCGACGGGTACATGAATAGAAAAGGTTTAGAGGAATGTGGGCCAAATGCTGGCAAATGGGACTAGGTCAGGTTGGTACTTCTGGTCAGTGCGGATGAGTTGAACAGAAGGATCTGTGTCCGTACTGTATGACTCTAAAAGTTTGCACGTTTGAGCAACAGAGATCTGGGCTGAGTGTAGCTTGTTATATAATCTCTTAGCATTCCAGGCTGACCAAATGACAAGTCCAATAGTTAATCACAGCCAAGTTGACTTTGGAGGATCCTGCTACAATCACCAGAGCCCAAGTCAGTCATGACTGTGAGGCACAGCATGTGTGTTTTGGTGTCAGAGGATAGTAGGTTCAAGTGCCACTTGAGAGACCCAAGCAGGTAATCTAGGCTATCATTGCGATGCAGTATTGAAGGGAAACACAATGTCGGAAGTAGTTTCTTTCAAGTGAGACATTAAAACCAAAACCTTCTCAGGTCTACTTGAGTGTGTTCAGGTCACTATTACAATGAAGAACAGAGCGTTCTCCGTAGTGTCCTGGCTAATATTCATCCTTCCATCAAATGAAAAAAAAAACTGACTGGTCATTATCAGATTGCTATTTGTGGACATTTGTTGCGTGCAAATGAGAATTACATTTATGTTCCAAAATTTGAAAAGTGCTTCATTAACCATGAAGGCTGTGGAAAACAAAGGCTGTCATGCAAAGAGTTATAGAGATAAAAATCTTTCTTTGGGAGCTCCTACAGTGGCTGGTATTGGTGTCAACACAAGCAAACATCAGATAGATAGGGGCAATGTGACATCCCTCAAAGGATGTTATCGACTAGGCTCAAGCGTCAAGGTCAGCTGTGTAGATAAGTAGGACCAAGGAATCTATTCCAATTTTAAAACAAAGTGAATAAACGTATGGGCATTAAAAAGCACAACATGCATTAAACTGATCCTGAGCTCAGCCAGCAATACCTGTGTCAACAATGCCTTTCCTATGCACCTCTCGAGGAAACAGGCTGCTGGGTTTTCAACTATCGGTTCCCACGGATTTGAAGACTGCATTCTCAGTTGAGGACGAGCTGAGAACAAAAGAAAAGAGTAATTGCAGAAAGAAATAACCTCCAAGTTCAGCGCAGAGTCAGGGATTCCGCGCAGGGAGTCTACAGCAAGAGGCTTTCCCCTGATTATGCACTGGTACGAACCCAAGCGTCTTTCTTGCTCATCTAAAGAGTCAGGTCATCAGCACAGGGGCTGACGGCGGGGGGGTGGAAGTACAGATGAATGTGGTGGGGTTGGGGGAACGGTTTTGAAGGTATTGGGGCAGCTGCTGGGCTGGTTGAGTTGGGAGGGGATTTGAGGTGGTGGTTTATGGGAGGGTTTGTTTTGTTTTGGGGTGTGGGTTGAAAGGGGCGTGTTGTGCGGACAGGGGTTTCGAGCGGGGTGGGGGTGATGTTAAGCGGTCAGGGGCTGGTGACATAATTGATGAGGAATAGCTAATGATTGGGAAGGTAGGGGGGAGGAGAGAGGTTTAAGGTTGGCCTGTTATGAGGACGTTGGGGAGGGAGCGGGAATTGGGTAGTATCAGGGTCGGTAGCTGGGGACGGGGTAGATGTTGCTTTTCCCGCTCGGGCCGTTACTCACCGCGTCGCGCGCTGATGAGGTTACGCCTAACCGCGGGCGCCGACTGATGAGGTTCGGGCAGGGCCCCGCCCCACAATCGGTCAGGTGACCGCAGGCTGTTACCATTGGAGACAGCGGAGGGGGCCGGGGTCGGAACTTTTTTTTAAATCGGGTGTTGCACCGGCCCCGAGCGGAAGTGTTTGGCAGTCGGTTTCCGGCTTCTGCACGGGGCCCCCAGGGCCTGTCTTCGTGAGACGGTAAGAGCCCGTGCCGCCTACAAGAGATGGACGTGCGGGCTTCACAGACAGGTACCGAGCGGGGCCTGAGGGCAGTGAGAGCCACAGCTTCCTTTAACACACAATCTCTCCCTTCAAATCACCAGGCGATGGGGTGGGGTTCGCCAGTTTAAGAGATAGTAGGAACTGTAGATGATGGAGAATCTGAGATAACAAGGTGTAGAGCTGGATGAACACAGCAGGCCAAGCAGCTGCTTCACCAGTTTAAATCTGTTCTTATTGAATCTCCAATTCTCATCTTGTGCTGTTGCCCTGCCTCCGCTGACCTTTTTGAGGCAGACTACTAAATGTGCACAATCTTCTAGAGAGAGAGAGAAATCCGGTTATCTCTGTGCTTCAAGGGCGATCTCTAATTTTAAAACATTGTCGTCCCCCCCCTCCCCCAACAGTCCTGGTTTCCTACGCAAGAGGAAATCTCCTTCCCAAATCCACCTTTTCGAGACCATCCTATGCACTTCGATCAAGTCACTGCTCATTCTTCTAAACTCAAAGTATAGGCCCAACCTTTCTTTATAAAACAGACTCCTCGTTCCAGGTATCAGCTTCGTGCACCTTCTCTGAATTGCTTCCTATCTCTCCTCAAGTAAGGATGCTAATCGTTGGGCACTGTTGTTCCACTAGGATCATCCCTAGTATGGAGGGATTGTCTTATGAACAAAGGTTAAACAGGTTGGGACTCTATTCACCGAAGTTTAGAAGGATGAAAGGTGATCTCATTGAAACATAAAGGATTCTGAAGGGTCTTGACGGGATAAGTGCTGAGAGAATGTGTCCCCTCATGGGAAAGTTTAGCACTAAAGGGACACTAATTTAATACTGAGATGCGGAAGAATCACTTCTGAGGGTTGAGAGGCTTTGGAACATCTTGCCACAGAGAGCTGTGGGGACAGAATCCTTGTGTATAGTTGATGCTGAGACTGAAAGAGTCCTGATCAGTAGGAAAATCAAGGGCAGAATGCAAGAAAGTAGACATGAGGAATGTCATATCAGCCATAATCCTACTGAATCGACAAGCAGGCTCTCTGGATTGAACAGCCTAATCCTGTTCCCTTTTTTTGTGGTCTTACTGTCACCTAACAACCAAGCTCTAATGTCATTCAGCTTTTTGAGTGTGGACAAGCAACCTGATCATTTATCATATATTGCCTCTTCTCATCCTGTCTGTCCAAAAGTATTGCTCCAAATTTCTCTGTAAAATAACAGTTGCTGTTTTCTGCCTATTCCATTAGTTTTTTTTCCTGCTTGTCTTTCTACATCTGTAATTATCCTTGTTATTGTTTACTGCTACTCTTGAGTTTTGTGTCATTGGCAAACTGTCCTGTCTGCCCATTTCCAGGTCATTAATAAATATCAGAGAGCAGTGATACCCCATTGATTCTATATTATAAGCCAAATAGAGGGTAAGTAGATAAAGAAGCTTTGCAGCAAATTACAACATAATGCAAGAATTAGTGTGGTGATACTGGAATACTTCAATCATTCTAATATAGACTGAGATAAGTACAGAGGGGGAGGTTTGCAGGAAGACTTTCCTTCATCAGTTTTTCTTTCTATTTGTTCATGGGAAGCAACATTGATTCTTGGACCATACTGTTGCCCAGTCTGAAAATCAGTTTGCCTTTTCTTTCTGTCCCTTAGCCGGTGCAGCACCATGCTGCAATGGACCTTTCAATCCTATTGACTTTAATTTTGCAAACTAGTCCATTATTGCAATATTGGTTCCATCAATTTTCTGGAAGAAAGAAAGGAAGAATTTCATTTGTGGACTTTTCATGATTGCCATATGTCACAAAGTACCTAGTCTATTAAGTATTTTTGAATTATAGTCACTAATAAAGTCAGAGTCTTGCAGGACAGAAACAGACCCTTCAGTCCAACCAGTCCATGCCCAACATAATCCCAAGTTAAACTAGTCCCACTTGCCTGCTCCTGGCCCATATCCTTCCAAACCTTTCCTATTCATGTCCTTATCTAAGAGTCTTTTTAAACATTGTAACTGTGCCCGCATCCACCACTTCCTCAGAAGTTCATTCCCGTAGGAAGGATAGCAGCCAACCTGCCTACAGCAAGGTGCCACAAACAACAAGTGATCATTATTTTTGTGATGCTGATTGAAGAATTGCCTGTACAGTGGGGAGAGCTTCCAGCTTAACATCTCATCTGTAAGAGGGCATCTCCAACAGTGCAGCACTCCGTCAATACCACAATGGGGCCTCAGCTTCGATGTTTGATTTTCCTGCTTCTTATCCTTGACTCCTGGATTTGAAACCACAACCATGTGATTCACCAACTGAGTTACTGCTGACAGTGTACCCTTTACCCTATTGATTGTATATGATAAGCTGCCAAAGACAAGGCAAGGAGATGTAGAAGAAGGTTTGCAGCAAATTACAGTGGTGCAAGAACTGGTGTAGTGTTATTTGAATACTTCAATTATTCTAATATAGACTGAGGTAATTACAGAGGGGGAAGAATTGCAGGAAAACTTGTCTTTGTCAGTTTTTTTCCATTTATTCATGGGATGCAGCATTGCTGGCCAGACCAGCATTTGTTGCCCATCCTTAATTGTCCTTGACAACAGTTGAATCTGTGACATGGATGGACTTATTGAGTCTAAAGTCATAGGTAAATACCAGGCCAGACCAGGTAAATATGGCAGAATTTTAGTGAACCAGGTGTCATTTTTAATGACCATTGGTAACCATCATACTGTGATTGATTGTTCAAAACCCAACCACTTCCATTGGAGAATTGTTTGGTTGTGCCTGAGGATAGTTAAAGCAATCACAACGGATGAGTGGTTGGGAATTACCTGTTGGGTTTAGAGTTCCATATTTATTAACTTTGTGTTTTCATTTCAGGTATAATCTGATGGAACTGTGGGACCTGTCTTGAGTAGATTTGGATGTGATCGGAGGGCAGGGAGATCATTTCCTTTTTTTTTTTGGATTTACGTAGTTCTGCTATGGGGAACAGCGCCTTGAAAGCTCATCTGGAAACTGCGCAGAAGACAGGTGTGTTCCAGCTCACAGGGAAAGGCCTGAATGAGGTGAGAAGCTGCAGCAATCTGTGGGTTACAAGGTTTGTCAGAAAAGGGCAGACTAAAGCAGAGCTGACTTTGTGGCATCACTGCAAAATGGCTGTGGATGGGATTTATACTTGATCGTGAGTGGAAGCAGGATCATAGAATCCCTACAATGTGGAAGCAGGCCATTTGGCCTGTTGAGTCCACACTGAAGAGCATCCCACCCTCCTGCCCTATCCCTGTGACCCTGCACTTCGCATGGTTAATGCACCTCGCCTGCACATCCTGGACACTATGGGCAATTTAGCATGGCCATTCCACCTAGCCTGCACTTCTTAGGACTGTGGGAGGAAACCCATGCAGACAGAGGGAGAACGTGCAAACTTCACACAGTCCCCCAAGGCTGGAATCGAACCTGGGTCCCTGACGCTGTGGGACAGCAGTGCTAGCCACTGTGCTGCCTCAGGATGATTTGACTTAGTGGGGTTTGGGACTAGGGGAGAGAGCAGAGGTGAGCCAGAGGCAGGGTGGGAGGATGGGGAGAGAAGTGTTGGTGGGAAGAAGGGGAAGAGGGCGTGGAGGGGAGAGGGTGGGCGTTTGGGGGGGGGGGAGAGGGGGCGGGGATGGGGGAGGGCGTTTGGGGGGTGGGAGAGAGAATGGTGGGGGAGTAAGTGGTATGGGAGTGAGGACGTAGGCCAGTGAGGTGGGGAGAGGGAAGAGGTAGGGAAGGAGTGGTCCAAGTGGGAGGATGGGGTTTGAGGGTGAGGTTAATAGAGCGATGAGAGTGGGGACTTGTTGGTGGTAGAGAGGACAGGATGCCAGAGACAGATGGAGGTTGAAATTATGTGAGGGAGAGGGTATAAAGGATGAACAGTGGGAGTGGATCTGAGTCTTTGATTCATTGGCTCTGCTACTTAACATGTTTTAATGGCCATTATTATTAATTCCTCATTTGTTTGAATGATTGATTTATGCTTTGGAATTTTTGTTTGTGAAATACATATTTCCTGTTCTGAATGTGCTCACTAGTCAGTGACAAATTAAACTATGCCCCTCCCTCTACGTGAATCTGTTTTAGAAATAGCTAATGTTTATGTTTTCTCACTATTCAGTTTCCCATGGACCTACAGAGACTTGCATCGAGTCTGAGGACAATGGACCTGTCCGGGAATAAGATTGAGACCTTACCCTCGGTCATCGGCCACTTCACAACTTTGAAGAGTTTGAATCTCAACAGTAATAAGTTGGGTAAGACTAATTCAGCAGTCAGTTTCACACAGCTTATTCCAGCCCCGTACACTGTACATCTCCATTGATACTATTTATACTAGACCTCCTTGCACCTCCCCATAGGAACTGGTGTCTCTAGCTGACCAGTTTTATTTGCCTTGCTCTGTGCTTTTACAAACACAAAACTTTTGCTTCCATTTTTTTTCTTTGAATTGCTCCACTTTGATTACTTTTCTAGTTTTCCTTTCTTTCTCTGTCATTTTTTTCCTGCTTTTATCTTTCTGCTCCATCTTTACAGCCTAACCATTTCCAATATATTTAAGATGGTTACTGAAAGACTATGCTCTTCTAGTCAGTGTTCCTAATCCCAAGAGCCTCAAACTTTCTCTCATGTATTGACATTAAGAAACCTTCTCCCCTTTTCCTGCAGTGCAGACCTCTCCTGCCTTCCCATGTATCCCAGCACACCGGAAATCTGAACCCTTTCCCTCTTCCAACAGGATCCAGTAGCTTGATTACTCACTAGCTGATGTTCAGTAGGTGGAACAAGTTTTTTTTGTTAATGTTTTGTCTCTGTCAGCTGTTCTGCCTGAGGATGTAGGCAAACTGAAAAAACTGGAGGCCCTTCACCTGAACAGTAACTCACTGAGACAGCTCCCCTCCAGCTTCGGCCAGCTAGCGGCCCTGAAGACCCTGAATCTGTCTGGGAACCAGCTTCGCGAGTTCCCGCTGCAGCTCTGCCGCCTTCGGCACCTGGACGTGGTGGACCTGTCCAAGAACCGAATCCAGCGTCTGCCAGATGAACTGGAGCAGCTGCAGGCCATAGAACTCAATGTCAACCAAAATCAGGTCTGTCACTGGCAACTGCTACAGCTCAATGAAACAATGACGTTATGGGCACGGGGAGGGACAGGGACTCTGTACATTGCGAACTTTGTGCATTGAGAGAGTTGCGCACTGTGTGACCTGTCTGTATTAATCCTATGAGCTAAGAAAGATAGATTGGGAGGTAAAGTACAGGTCAAACTTGCAGATCCTAATGAGAAAGTTGGCCTTTAGCTGGATTACGAAGTGGTGGAAGTTATTATCCTCTGGTGGGCTGCATTCATTTTTGGACAATCTATCTCAGAAGATAGATATTTTTAATCATCTTTTTCAGACCTGTTATGACACACTCTGGGGCAGGTGTGACTTGCACCTGGACCTTCTGTAGGGACACTACCACACACCACAAGCATCCTTCAAGACAGATTGTAGTGCAGTTTCACCAGAATAAGGGGCTAGCTGGATTCAATTGAGATCAGGCTGCATAGTTTAGGCGTGTATTCCTTTTGAGATGTAGGGAATGACCAAATCGAGCTATTCTTGCTGACTGCAGCATTTCATAGCATAGCTATAAAAAAAACTCCCTCAGAACAAGGGGGAATACAACCTTTAGAATTATACCTCATCCATTCAGAGGGGATGTCAGTATTGACTTCACACTCAAATTTGAGAAGGATTGAGACAGGGTTTGGTTGAACCTTTGAAAAGAGATTGATAGATTTGTTATGTAAGGCAATTATGAGTTTTGCAACCAAGATGGGTAAATGGAGTTGAGACACAAATTTGTCAGGATCTAATTGAACAGCAGAAGAGTATGCTGTGGATTGTTTATCTTCAATACAGTTGTTCACAGTATGAGGTGAGTAATGATCCCCATGAATCAATTAGACAATTAATATTTAAGATTAATATAATTCAATTTATTGCACAAATCCATCACTACAGTTTGTTTTTTGACAAATTGCTCTGTGTGTGTGCACTGATTCATACTCCTTTGAAGTTTGGGTATGATATATTGCTGAAGAGCACCAGTGTATGCACAGCATGAGTTTGTGTCCAAAAGCTGCTAGTTCACAATGATTTGGTTTGAAGTTTAAGTAACCATTTCACATTTGTAGATCTCTCAGATTTCATCACACATCTCCCGATGTCCCCGGCTGAAAGTTTTACGGATTGAAGAGAACTGTTTAGAAATCTCCATGATTCCTGTCAGTATCCTGGCTGACTCTCAGATCGCCCTGCTGGCTGTGGAAGGGAACCTTTTTGAAATTAAGAACCTGCGAGATCTGGAGGGTTATGATAAGGTTGGTCGCAATGTATAAGGGGCAACAACTTAGCAGTGCTTATGGAATAGGCAAGTTTAATGTGCCACTCTGATAAAAGATCTTCTCTAAACCCTGAGATTTTAGTACTGGAACTGAAACCAAGTTTTTACAAGTGGTATACCTGTTGGCATTACTTAATTTGCAAAATACCAGGACAGAAACAGGTTCATCCGGTCTTCACTGGTGTTTTTATTTGTATAAGCTATCCAATTTAATACCACTTCTGGAATCGGCCCATACTCCCTTCCTGTCTAAAGCCATTTCCTTTGGTATCTCTCATAGTACAATTCCATTCATTCCACATAGTCTTTCATATCAGTCGATCTGAACCCTCTAATTTTAATTGGTCTAAGCAGGAATGAGAGATAAATTGGAGAGACAAAGGATGTGAAGGGGATTGACATTCTTGATGATAGTATGTTGATTTGGATTTCTTGGATGTAACTGACTGCTGAGAAGTCTGATGCCAATTTGACTCTAGTGAAAAGAGTCTGCAAGCAGAATTTGCAGAGATTGGTTCCAACTGAGTTGGGGGAAAGGGGGGAAACGGGCACATTTGAGTTAATGGGTTTTAGAGGCAGAAGTGGAGAATTGTCAGCAGTGGTAGACTGAGTGCATGACAGAGTTCGAGTGGGTTGAGCTACTGGAATAGATAATGTATGGGTGGACTACATTCTGACCCATGTTTTTCTTCCCTCAGTACATGGACCGCTTCACAGCAACAAAGAAGAAATTCTCTTGAAGGTCTGAGCTCCCTCAGCCCCAGGACAATAGCCCAGCATATCTCAGCAGCTGGTTAAATGGTAGTAGTAATTTGCAATGGACCATACAGAGGAGGTAACTCCAACTTATTGAAGGAGAGTGGAAAGGGGCAGTACATGATACAATGTGGAGGTCCTCAGCCCTGCCTACATTCCAGTTATTGGGGTTAGTAAAGCTGCTACGCTGCCTTTAATCTGTAAAAGGCATTGTACCCTATTGTCATCAAGCTGCTGTGAACATGGCCAAGCAGCCCTGGTCAGTCCTGATTTAGCCACTACAGTCGCACCTTGTATACAGCACTTTGCACGTAACTTCTGATTTTGGGAGATGGCTTCAGTTACGTGGAGCTCAGCCTCTGCTTGAAGCTGGCACCTGCTGCATAGACTCAGCATTTAGTTAACGGTGACAGTGCAACGACAGCTCCTGTTTCAACTTCTAATTGGAATTCAGTCTCCAATCCAACCCATCATTTCAAACAACACTGTATATATAAAATAAAGCATTTTATGTGCAAGTATTCTCTTGATATTTCTTCCTACTTTAGAGTTAAAGAGATTTGCAATGGGGAACAGTGAGGCTAAAACTTCTGCTTGCCTGAACGATAAAGCCAGCAAGATTAAAGTGCAGGACCCTTAAGGTATGTTTTAAAGGGTGGTGAGAGGGGCAAACAGGAACTTGAAATTTAGCTACAGCATAGCAAGATAATTCAATCTTTCAGAAGTGAGGAAAGAAATTACAAAGTTAACACCAATAATATTCTCCCTGCCAGAAATGAGCTGTTTGAATATCACTGCAGGTTCAGTCTAAAGTTATGGAGACTTCTGAAAACCTAGGAATAGTTGAATGAAGCAACTAGGCACCACTTAAAGGGGATGTATAGAGCCTTCCTCTCACACTGCATGAATTAATTTTTAATCAATGTTCTAATTTATGGGCCCAGTAATTCTTAATCCAGCACAACACCAAGTTTCACTGCAGTCACAATGACTTGAGGATGATTTATTTAGAAAAAGAAATTTGATGTTTTCAGGCAGTCAGGTTGCAGTTAGTAATCACATTATTTCTATAAAACATTACTTACAATATTAGAGAAGTGATTAAATGTGCAATATATATTACAGCAAGCCCCAAAGCACTGGAAATAGTTTGTGCAGTCTTGACCACTGCTCATCATGTTCTTTCCTGTACCCAAGTAGTTGATAGCAAGTGATAACATGAAGCTGAGAGCACTCTCGATAAGAGATGCCCAAGCAGTACGCACACAAACACACACACTCCCCTCACCCCCACCTCATGGACAGATCATTTCACATCTTATTTCCCACTTTTATTTCACTTAACTGAATCAGAGCCCTGAATGAGCCACGAAGACAAGGTGGTTGTAGATTGGTAGCTAGAATCCAGCAGCTGCAGTGCTCTAGGTACAGACTCATACACTGACGTCCAAGGCAGATAGGAAGGCCAAATAACCAGCAGTTTACAGTTGACAGCAAGGCCCAGAACGGGCTGGGGGGAAAAGACCGTGAGAGATTAACAGTCAGTCAATGGGGCCTATGCACTTTGAGTTTTGACAGGAAAATCTATGATCAGGGTGAATAGGAAGACCAAAGCCATGAGGAGAGTTTAGGGTTTGATGGAAAGGTCCAGGGCCTGGTGGTTTGATAAAAAGCAGCAGCTCCTGTTCAATTCCCCACCAAAAGTCACTATTCTCTCAATGTCCGAGATCCAGCGGACTCATCATATCACTGTTTCTTCCTTCCCAGGAAGAATTTTGGGGCAGAATTAAAATACACATTGCCCTGTAGGAAAAGCACCATGCTAGGTCATATACAACCAAACTATTCATTCTCATCCCTCCAAAGCAATTCTACTCTCTGGGATTCCTTTGGCCAATGTAGCTTTTGTCTGAAAGCGCAAACTCCAGTTTAAGATAACCTGGTGGTGGTGGTGGTGGTGTTGGGTTGGGTTGGGTGGGGTGGGGTGGGGGGGGGGGGGGGGAAACGAGGAAGAGGAGAGATTAGATGAAGCAGTCTGTAAACTGGGACTGAGAAAGAGATCAGGTCTCCCAGATATTGCTCATTTGAACTGCCCATAGGTCCCAGTTTTAACCTCTACAGTTAGCCCTCCAGTCATTCCATCAATAGACATAAAAAACAGGTGCTGGGCATGTACAACGATTGAAGTGCTACCAAAAGCCACTTAAACTTAAGGCCACTGGGGTGGAAATAAGTCACTTTGGATACAGCTCTGAATGACTCCAGAGCTCAGCTTTGGAGACTGTACACTGATTTAAAAAAATACCAGGAGTCACTTGGCACCAATTCAGATCCTACCCTAATTCAAAGATTTAGCTTGTTGGGAGATGCAAAAAGGCATAGGAAGGCACAGTGACTCCCATGGAAAGGGATGCAGAAATCAGACTGTAGGTGAAGCTGTACATTCAAGGCTAAGTCTGGAGTTCAGCTCCACATTAATTCTGGATGAGTTTGTTTGCTCTCTGGTTGGCTTCATCAATCCGAGCTATGTTAGTATCAGCCTGTTGAATACAGAGACAGACAGTCAGCACTCGTTCATCTTGTGCACATACAAAATTTCCCTTCCCACTCCTAATTATCCACAGAGAACCAACTTAATTCAGTTTACAAAAAGCTGCAGCTAAAATGCACACCACAACCCAACTGTATCAGGACAAGAGAAGACTTCGGGAATCAGTCAGGACTTGTTCCATCACTGTTGGATTTCGCTACCCTGAATTAATTCAGTTTGTGTGCCTCGATGACAGTAACCCTGCCTACCAAAAATCCATCAATTTGGACTGAAATAGTCTACTAAGCCTAGGCACTTACAGCCTTTTGAGTGTTTCAGACTTCCATTACCCTAGCTCTAATTTTATGCCCCTTATTTTGGACTGTCACTGGAAAGCATCTGTTCATCTTCAATACAATTGGATAAACTTCTAATCATCTTAATGCATTCTCACAATTTTAGCTCCATTGTGGTGAACCTGCACTCCATTTCCCAAAGCCAGTATATCCTTCCTAAGGTGTCATGCCCAGAATTGAACGAAGGACTCGTCATACAGTCTAACCAGAGTGTAATACAATATGCAAGTTCTAGCCCTTTATATGAATCTTAATCCAATCTAAGATAGCAGGAGGAGACAAGTCACACTTAAGTACACCGTAATCTGCTGTTATCTCGATGGCATGTTATTTTTAGATATGTGTCCAAGTTCTTCAAATCCAGGAAGCCCCGTGAGCTGGCATTATGTCTATCTAAAAACTCAAGACCCATTCACAGAACACGTTAAGACAATGCTGTCTCTGTAACAAAATGGACAGGTTGATCAGAGGTAAATGGGTTTGACCAATTAGAACTCTGGTACAACTGACAAGATTGACAAACCCAATAAAAACATATCCAAAGCAAAATCTTAACATATTTTACTTTTCCTATGAGGAATAGGTGAGTTTCCATGATGTAAATAGACATTTTTCCTCATTCATCTATTGTTATTAAAGATGTAGAGCGAGGCTGGAAGTTATCATTCGAGGGTGCATCCAGCAATTGTGGTAACTTAAGAAATGGTTTCCTGCTTGTTACCTTGCTCTTGAAGAGATACTCGAGACCTTAGGGAACTAAGAGTTGCCCTGAAAGAGTAATCTAAATTTCAGAAGCCTTAGCAGTTTGGGGAAGGAGGTTGAAAACACAGCAAGTACCTTCCCAGAAATGGAGTCAATCTTTTTGTTCTGGGCATCGATTTCATTGCCCATGTCGATGGCCATATTTTTCAGGTTTCCAATGATACTGCCCACTTGCTGCAGGTTTTCTTCCATTTCATCCTCTCGAGCGTCATTGGTTATCCTAAATCAGACCCAAAATTGTCAGGTTATTTCAACATGAAGTTGGAAATTTGGTGTGGATGCTTCTGTATCATCTGCTCTGTTATTCAAGCAAAAATGAACCAGTGAATCTTGAGCAATCAGGCACAATGTGGGACAGCCATTAAGAAAGAAGTGGATTCTCCACTCTGGATGGATGCAAAGGTGGCCCCAAAGGGAAGAGAGTGAAAGATAGAGAGGTCATGCCTGTTCTCCTCTTGAATCGGGGTGGAAAGGTCATGCTGCCCCTCGCATACAAATCAAGATTTCCCCAGTGGCTGGTGATTAGGGCATTTGCTGATCCCAACGTGACAAGTGACTTGCGCAGATAAACATAGCCAAGCTGCTTATGCCCTGGATCTGGACAATGACAGAGCCCCATCCCATGTACCTGGTAACGTAGCCTTCTCCTTCGCCGCCCCTTCTGACCATCTCATGGTGATTCTGGATGTTGCCTGGCTGATTGGAGACAACTCTGCCAGTGTTCCCATCAGCATCGCTACCCCAGGCTTTCTTGTATGAATCCCCCATCTCGAAGTTCTTCACCCTGAGACAGACAGAGAGACAGCAATGTGACAATGAGTTTTGAAGGATTGTTGGAGAGAGGGGTTGATCTCTGAAATTGTCCAATTGGGGTGGGAGCAGGGAGAGAGGAGGAGGAAGAAAGCATATATTTAATTGGCTAGAGAGCCCATTGGGACATTGAGGTTGTGAAGTGCAGAGTGTAAAAGTCCTTCTCTTAAATGCTGAACATGAGTCTCCTCTTCATGTGCCCTCCTGCAGTAGTCTGCACTGCAGTCTGGACTTCTTTCCAAAATGGTCAAGCAGACATACGCAATGAGTCTCAGTACAACCCAGTCAGACTACTGAGAAATGACTGGTAACAACTTAGGAGAGATTATGCTGACTGCTTCATGAATTAGACAGCTTTTCAGAAGACATCAAATACAAACTGGAGTTCTGGTGATGTGCACAGAGATGCATTAGAGCCAAGCAAATGGGAAATGATCTAAGAAGGACAAGGGTTATAAGGTGAGGTTTGCTGCAAATAGAAATATTTCTGAAGGGTGGGGAGGGGGCAAGATTAGTCAGCGTTGGGACTGGTTTGATATTTTGTCCAATGATCTGGAAGAGTAAGGCGTTGATGCCGGGAACGAGCAACAAGCTACAACTCAACTTTCAACCTTTTACGTGACTTTGATATGTCAGCATGGACTTTGTCTCTCATCTCTCTTGGTTGTATTTAGAACATTTTGGATTTTGATGATATTGAACCAGTCTGGTGCTTACAGTGCAGGAGATGTGAAAGCCATCACACTGGAGAAGTCTACAAGGATGATGACTGCTGTTCCTGTCCTTAGTCTTAATCTCTTAGTGTGTTAACTCTTTTTTTCTGAAATTACACTCAATTACCCATTTTCTCAATAGTTTACTAGAAGAATTTCTTTATGTTGGTTTTGACTATTCAACACACTGCTCATTCCCAGTTCCTTCTGTCTCCCACGTTTAACATTTGGTTAGCAGTCCCAGTATTTCTCGTACTAATTTCCTTCACCTTTCTCCTTACACGTTTTGATGAGCCTATGATCCAGGCTAATACACCAGGGCAGTAATGAGAGTTTGCTGCACCATTGAAGGTCTTTCAAATGAGATATTAAACAGAGGTCCTTCCCAGAAGTATTGACTAGAAAAACACTAGGTCAGCTTTCCTGCTCCTCTGATGCTGCTTGGCCTGCTGTGTTCATCCAGCTCTACACCGTGTTATCTCAGATTCTCCAGCATCGGCAGTTCCTACTATCTCAGGAACATTTTACTGCTGACTTCAGCAATGTGAGAATTTTCAATTCTCCTTGTTTCACAGACCCCTTGAAACTATTTCAAAACTGAGCAGGGGAATCTTCCCTTGTCCTGGGGCCAATATTTATCCCTCAGTTAACATCACTAGGAACAGATCATTTGGTCATTACCACCTTGCAGTTGGCAGGAGTTTTGCTGTGCACAGATGGCTTCACTAGTGACTATACTACAAGATGTATTTATTGAAAATGAAGCACTTTGTGACATTGGTGTTGACAGAGGCAATACAAGTTCTTTATTCTAATGGCACAAGATTGCAAGACTTCCACAATTACACAGGCACACAGCAGGCTCATGCAGCATGCAGTTACATGTACCACCTACTCAAACATGGACATGGTCCCCAAAACGGCTGTGTTTCTTCATGACAGATTCCACGGTACGTCACTGACTGGCTCCCGCTTTCCACTGAGGTTTATATTAAGGTTAATCTTCAACAAATGAAGCATAGGGATGGGGAGCAAGAACAAGGTTTCAGGGTAGGGGGCAAATGAGAGAAGAGGAGAGAGAAAGAGAGACACAGCAAGAGAATGAACTCAAAAGATCAGACAATTAGGTGTCATTGATGATCCCAGCATTACAGAAAACAGCCTGGAGCTCTCCTCCTGGGCTGCTCACTGGAATTAGGATCCTACCAGACAAAGCTTGATTGGTTAATCAGTTAATGGATAGTGGTAGCAGAAGTTGAACATATTGTGATCATTAGAATTGATTGCTCCAATTAGCTGAATGGAGAAAGAAGTTAGTTTGACACACAGCAGGCCCAAATACTCAAATACACATCATGCCGAGTATTCACGTGTTAATTACAGCTGCTGTTCCAAAGACTGTACGTCGATCAGACTGTTTTGGTTTTGAGGCTAAATTCTGTACAACACGCGGGTCACATTTGCACAAAATTTACATTCATGTTCTGCTTGAGGCAAATCTACCGGCAGCTCCCAACACCGCTGTTTACTGTGACAGAATGACTGAGGCCACGTGAAGAACAGACAACCAGCAATAGAACCAGCTACTGAACACCATGAACACAAAGGTAAAGTTTCATTCACATTGTCCCAAAACTGAATCCACCTGTATCTGTGTGAAACAGCCATTGCCCTCAAAAATTCCTAAGTCAATTTCAGTCTCTTCACTTTAACATCAGAAATGTAACAATGATTCTATGACACTGACTGATGTCCTTTCTGGACTGAAGGCACTGCATTCTTTCAACACATTATGTACTGCCAGCCACTGCTTAGACATTACCATCAGAGTCAGAGGATTGAAAATCCCATGTCAGAGACCTGAGCACATAACCTAGGCTAACTTCTAACGTGGTACTGGAGTGCTGCATTGCCAGAGATGTTCAATTGAGGCCCTCTTGGGCGGATGCATGTGATTATGTTGAGGAAGAGCAGCAGACTTCAATCCCAGCCACTCTTCCTCATCAGTAAAACAGATTTTCCAATCTGTTTGTGGGAGCACTAACTGGTTCCGTTTCCTATATTCTGCTACGTCTACAACTTTGTAATGTCCCAAGGCCATGAAAGACATGATACAAAAATCTGGTGTGGTTGGGAACTGTGAGCCAGCTGGAAGCCATTCCCTGGCTGTGCCCAGCAACACCTACCTACTGCAAGGACACACACACAGGCCACAGCATTTGGTGAGGTCAGTTAGGTTTTTCTCCGCCTCCCTCATATCCTGGTTGATCTGATCCAGCCCTTCATCAATGTGCCTCAGTTGTTCTAAACAAAACAAAAAGCACATGGTCACAAGGTCAGCTGTACTGAGGGTTCTCTGCTTCCCTCCCACTCCAAGTTAACCACTAGAATCTTCAGAATGACCCCATGTGCCATGAAGGAATCTCTGCTGGAACAGCCCAGAGTTTCCTTCCTCCTGGTGACTTCATCCACACACACATGCTTTATCTGTCCAGAATTACCTAGCAGCCCCATCAAAAGAGGCAAAGTCTGGTTCTGAAAACCCTCGGCGCAGATCAAGACTGTTCCACGTGGTAATCATCACGTAAACACGTGACACAGTAGGTAACAAGTAATCGCTTCTCCCTAGGCTGGGGTTGATCTCCTTGGAACAAGAGGAAGGAGATTTGATGAGCCTAGTTGAAGTTAATGGGACTTACCTTAGCAGAAAGGTCAGGAGAGAGGGGAAAAATTTTAAAAGCGATTGGTAGCAAGCATACAGGGGTGATGAGGAAATATTTTTGCCCAGGGAAAGGAAGGCGTCTGGAACTCTCTTGACTGCAAGGATAGTAGGAGCAGAAGCCCTCAACTCGTTTAAAAGGGACCTGGAAGTGCACCTCAAGTGATGTAACCTGCAAGGCTACGGACCAAATGCTAGAAAGTGTGATGTGGCTGACTGCCTCGTTTCTCAGCCTGTGGACGCATTGGGCTAAATGGCCTCTTTTTAAAGTCATTCCTGTTCAGCTTTCCCTCCCTCTCACGGGCCAGAGGTCTAGAGGTTGCTGCTGGCCGTAACTTCACTTCAATGTACAAGCCGAGGAGAGGGTAGGGTGATATTGGAACTTTCTGTCCACTGGACTGCCCAGCAGTTGAATGGGTGACCAGATCCCTGAATATAGAATATTAGGCAAGGATTCTACAGGCACTAGAATCTGCCCTAACCAGCGTAAGGGTTGTAAAGGAAATCACAGCAAGATCACATTAATATCCCTGTTCCACCCTTCCCAACAAGTACAAGCACATGCTAACCAGACTAGGGGCCTGTGCAATAACAATGCCAGCCCAGCCTCCCTACCTAGCCCGAGCACCCTGCTGATGATGATCAGGCAGCACTATATACTCACCTCCCTGCTCATCCAGCATGATCATAGTCTTGCCACCAGCATCCCTGCTCTGAAACGAAAGGAAGTATCAGCACGCCAAATGGTCACTTTCAATGAGATGAGTGGGCCGCACTGTAGCTGGGGCGCTAATAGATTGATTGGGCAGTGCACAGTCACAGAACTCTATTCTCCACATCCATCATTGGATGCACCATGCCAAAACTAAATGAGAACAGGGCAGAGGCAGCCTGGCTGCGTTTCCCCCACCATCCATGCCCAAAGTTTCACAGAATTCAGGAACGCAAGGGTTTACCTTATTCACCTGCAGCTTCTGCTTCAAATTCCCAACAAGTATTTTTAATGTTCTCACTGGGATCACCGGCTGAAGATTCAAAATAACCTCAGAAGAACACATGGTTGGTTGAGGGTGGGGCTACACAGAGACACTGTGTTAGCACTTTGAATGCAACGCTCGCCTGCACTAAATGTTTGTGCTGTTACTCGTCTCGAATACTTAACCAGTAAAACCCATGGGATTAAAGTGATAGTGGCAGTGTGGACAGTGACTAAGGGACAGACATAACTATTTACTACTGTTCTTTGCTTGTTCAGACTGGAGGGAAAAGCGCAATGTGGTCCCCAGGGATCAGTGGTATTTTTGATTTTATTAATGACTTGCCATTTGGTATAAACAGAACAATTTTAAAGTTTGCAGGTGGCCTGACAGTCAGAAATTTGGTCAGGAGGATAAGGAAACTTCAGAAGAGTGAAAAAACAAATAGGGACACGGCACATGACCTTAATATAGAAAAGTATGAAATGTAGTATTTTGGTAGGAAGAATGAAGTGAAGCAATATAAACAGTACAATTCTAAAGCAGCTGCAGGAGCAGAGAATCTTAAGAATATACATACACAAATCCCAAAACATGGCAAGACAAGTAGAAATGGGTGCTTTCTTAAAAAAAGGCTTTAGTATAGACAGAGTAGAAAGGAAAGGACACTGTATTAAACTTTTTATAATTCACTAATCAATGTGAATACTATAAACAATTCTGATCACCATACAAAAGATGCAGACAGGATTGACTGGAATGGTAGCAGGGTAAGGTGACAGACTGGGGATGCTTGGACTATTCTAAGAGCAGGGAAGGTTAAGGGGAGATTTAGAACTGCTCAAAACTGAGGAATTGAGATAGAGTAAATAAAGAAGTTGTTTTCACTTACAGAATACTGGATAATGAAAGGATAGATTCAATTAGTAAAATTAAAACTAGTGAAAATGAAATGAGAATTGCACTTTTTAAATGAGGCACATTACAAATGGGAATTGGATACATGTCAGAGAAGGCTGAAAAGATAGGACTATGGCGATCTGAATAGCACTTGAGACACAGGATGACCACTCTCAGTACTGTATTTTCAGAAAATAGTTTGAGAGAATTGCACAGACCTGGTGACCAGACTGTTCAAATGTTGGCATGAGGATGTCTAGTGTCAAGAGTAAGGGGCGAGTCTAAACACAACAGTGGCAACATTGATAGATTGGCAAACACAGCCTTGTCAACCCTCCCCGAGGCCCCAGTTCTACCCAAAAGTCAACAGAAAGCTGCAATAATGCGTATTTGTTTCTGTACTAGTAGCAACTACCACACTATGTGCAGAGTGTACACCAGCTGTATTATTAAACCTGAACAATGTCCGCTTCGAACGATCACTCTGTGGCATGACCCTCACAGATCCCAACCTGTGCCTTCCACTATGACCCCAACAGATCCTGTCACACTGTTCCATGACCCTCAACCCCCACTTCTGCGCTTTCAACCCAACATGCCCCATTGCCCTGCAGTCAGCATTAGAAGGCCAGTAGAAGATATAGTTCAGCTTTACCTCCTCCGCCAGCTGCAGCATCCTCCTGGTACTCTCCAGGGACTGTGAAGAGGGGAACAGAAATTGTCAAGCCTGAGACACCACAATTCAACAATCCAACAGCCATGATATTTTGCACCCCTGTACCTTTACTGGTCAAATCTCTCCTGAAACAACTGGCAGTCACACCCCTTCAGAATTCAAATAAATTGCTGGCAAGTAAAGCCAAAGCAGCTCTCACCAAACCAAGGACACCAGGAACATCCATCCTATGGAACAGGCCTGAAAGTTAGCTAACAGTTGGAATGGGCAGCAAGTTGTTTGGGGGTGAAAAGCTGAGGTCAATGTTGGTTAACTGGTCCGAGAAGTAAGGTGTCCCTCACTTAGGAAAGGATTACAGGTACTGAAATGACCCCCAGGATTCTGACAGTCTTGCACTGTCTCAAGTGACTCCTGCTGGATAACGATAGAATACTCAGCTACCATTAGCCGCCTACTGCAGGGAGTCGAGAGCTAACCCAAGAGAATTCCTCACCAATCACACCTCCCGATCTCACATCCAGAGAAAAAGGGGTGAAAAATTAATGGTGGGGGGAGGAGAGAGCAAAATCAATATAACCTGCTTTTTTATAAGGACACAACTTCAGCCCACCTGCCTCTTCCACGGCCTGCTTTCAACTAAAAGCCCAACTCACAGTAGCAACTCACCTCATCGGTCACCTGGTTTGCTCGGACCTGTATGTCCTCAACAGACATGTCTGCCATATTGACTGGCCCCAAACCTGTATGCAGCAGAGAGAGAGAGAGAGACATGTGAAACAAAAGTCAGAGGCTCAGGGAGAGCAGTGCGCTCGGTTTCTTGACTGTGTGAATGTCGCATATGAACGTGGGGACTCCGTGCCAGCTCTGTGCAGGTCTGGTGAAGATGTTGTGTTTATTCCTTTTGGGTCCTGCAATCACTTCCTGTGCTGTAAAACGCTTTGACACAACCTGAAATCATAAAATACCACCTGAATCCGTGTCCATTCTGTATGGCCCTTTGACAAAAACGATCATCCCCTCAGTCAAACTCAATCGGAACACCTTTGGTTGTGAAGCCAACTTACTCAGTCCTGTTTACGTCCACTCTTCAGTTAGCTCTGGGGCTTATTTTGGAGCACCAATGCCTCAAATGATACAATGCAATCGTACTAACAGATGGAGATTGTTAGTCACATTGTGAAATTAGACCTTACATGTGGTTTTCACAGCATGTGAAGCAGTCCCTTTCCAGTATGTAGTAACTGCACCCTACAATGTGAGAGATGTTTGCAGAACTAAACTTCCTTTCAGCAGTTCTGGAGTTAATAAGGAAATGACCATTGCTCTCACTATTTCCTTCAGCGGTCTGCCTAACAGGCAGTGCCTCAAGTCATTCTACTTTGTACCACACAATAAGCTTGGAAATGAGCAAAGAGGAACTCCAAATTGCAGCAGTGACCAACACCCTGCGGAGACAGATACTGCCGCATGGGGACAAAACAGACAACCCAAATACATACATGACCACAAGTGATCAGTAAGCAGAACACCACTTTCAGATTTCCAGAATGTAGTGGCTGATTTGTCTTGAGGCCTGGGTGTGGCAGCAGCTTCAGCAAGCCAGGGAGATAGAGCAGTCATACATGTTTTCTCATCATCTGGTTCAGAGATGTTAATACACATCTCCGGAGCAGGTGGAACTTGGACCCGGGTCTCTTGATCCGGAGTCAGGGAAACTACCACAAGACCCTCAGAAGTTACATGGACTGACACCTGAAATGGAATGAGGAATGGGTGATCAATATCAATTAAGGGTTGATTGGGTGTTCATAGAAACCCTACAGCACAGGAAGAGGCCATTTGGCCCATCGAGTCTGCGTTGACCCTCCGAAGTGCATTCCACTCAAACCCAGTCCCTACTTTAGCCCCATAATCCCACATTTAGCATGGCCAATCCACCTAACCTGCGCATTTTTGGACTGTGGGAAGAAACTGGAGCACCCAGAAGAAACCCGTGCAGGTAGGGGGAGAACACACAAACTCCACACAGACAGTCACCTGACCTAGAATTGAACCCGGGTCCCTGGTGCTGTTAGGCAAGTGCTAACCAGTGAGCCACCATGCTGCCTGTGTTGCTTGTATAGTTAACAGCAGCTAGAAATCAGTGGAGCGGGAGAGTGGGTAACTGTAATAAAGCTCTTACTTAACAGTGTGAATGCTTAAAAACATTTCTAGTGTATAATATCTACACCACTGAAGTAAGTGACTCAGTATGGCTGGTTTCTACCTGTACAAGAGTGAAATATTGCAGAGGCTACAAATCGGAAATACAAAGTTCTGGAAATACTCAGCAAAGAGGAGTGAAACAAATCAAGTTAATGAGGGGGAAGCAGTAATTTGTCATTTGATGGTCCGATCTGTTAGATTACAGGTCTGAAGCAGTAACTGCATTTCTCTCTCCACAGAAGCTGCCTGACCTGAAAATATCCAGCATTGTTTTTCTATTCTAGTACATACGGTGTAGGTGTTGCACAAGGAAACAGTTCTCAGAGTAAATGCTGATACTGCAATGGCTCCACCCAGTCTAATGATGTAACACAATCTTTGGGAGCTGACAGTAGTGCTGCACAAGTGCCCAAAGAGAGCAAATGTATTCTGTATAGTTCCTGAGAGTCTTTCAGATTTACACCCGACCAGTAATGTAAAGTGTACTTATTGCGGTCATATAATAAATCATCTTGTGAACAAAGAAAATGCCTCTTTTGTTTAGACTTATCAGTGAACACTGATTATTAGAGGAGCCCTAGACACAGCATAGCCAAAGAGGTTTTGGGGCAGCCAACTACCTCAACACCACAGTACCACGTACTGGCAGCAGTGGCATAAGCCTGCTCCTATTGCTCTGCATCTCACTATCAGCACATACCTCTATTTCTTTCACTGTTAAGTTTATTTTCTAATGAAGCAAACAGAAGTGAGTGAGGCACTAAGAAAGATTTAAAAAAAGACCCGAAGGGCTTTCTTTTAACTGAGACGGAATAAACTTCCAGAAGAAATGGTGGATGCAGGTACAACATTTAAAAGACATTGGATAAATACATGAACAAGAAATGTTTGGAGGGATATGGGCCAAGCGCAGGCAGGTGAGATTAGCTTAGTTTGGGATTATGATCGGTGTGGACTAGTTGGATTGTTTCTATGCTGTATGACTCTAAACAGGAGTGAGTGAGACATCAAGAAATAATTGGTTTCTTCAACTGAAGAAATTGTGACTTTTGTTTTTTTTTTAAACACAACCTTAGGAAATTCCAACTTGCCTTACAATTAATGAAGTACTTTTGAAGCGTAGTCACAGTCGTAACGAACAAACATCCTCATGTTTTTGTAAAACTTTCCCTCGAGTGCATCTCCACACTTCAATCATTCCTTATTGGATTTACTGGCAACTAGCTTGTAATTGTGCTTTTTAGCTCTGGACTCCCATCACCAGTGGAAATATTTTCCCCTCACTGTCATAAATTTAAAGACCGAGCACACCATGCTGCCTCAACCTTCCCTTTTGCAAAGAGTGATCCCTAACCTGGTTAGCAAATTTACATGATCAAATGACCAAAGCAATGCACAGTGCTCCAAATGTTAGCCATGGTCTATACAGGTTTTACACAAGTCAAGACTTGCATTTAATATAATCCCTGATACCTCCATATCCAACACGCAGCTTGTGATTACCATAGGGAGGCGCAATCTGCACCCAAGCCAAGTTGTGGCTCTTTTACTGAATTCTTAATTGGGGATTGCGGGCAGGCTATTCAACTGCAAGGAGCATTGTGGTCAAACCAGAAGTATTCTCATTCAAACAACAACTTACTTTCGTACAGCACTATTTATCTTGTAAACATTCCTAGGCACTTCTTAATTGCCTATCATTCCCTTTCACCATTGTGGGTCAACCCACAGCACACAGACTGCAGCAGTTCACCCCCTTCCAAAGGACAACTAGAGACTGGTAATAAATGCTGCCACAGCCAGCGACACCTACATTCCACAAATGAATAAAAAACAAACTTCTATACAGACACCACACAGGCCAGGCTGGGGTCATGAAAGTATACATTTATCTGAATTCAGAGAGGATCTAACACCAAGCAACAAACTCTACGCATTTGGTTTCTCATTACAACCTCCACCTCCCATTTATTACGGATACTTTTAATTTATTAGAATCTGTTGCTTCCCACTATTTGATTTTTTAAATAAATTTTGTGCTCAAACAGAAACTCAACAAACAAACACTCTCCAATTTAGAAACATGCAGTGTCAAGACTGCCCAGGACAGGGACAGCATGGGGGCTAGGTACAGAGTCATGCTCTCTCTACTCTTTTAAACTGATCATATATCTCCCTCTACTTTCCATTTATTTCCAGTTTAAAAGAGTAAGGTCCCTTTGATACCATCCCCATCAAATGCTCCCAGATCAGGGACAGCACGAGAGGAGTTAAATACAGAGTAAAGTTCTCTCTACTTTTTCAAATGAAAGTTATGCCACCACCCCAGTCCCCCATCACCACGCTTTTAAACTGCAAGGAAACTAAGTAAAACTCCCAAACACTGTCCCCATCAAACACTCCCAGGACAGTGACAGCAGATGGTTAAATGCAGAGTAAAACAAAAAAAAACCACTCATCTTTTAAACTAAAAGTAAATGGAAAGTAATGCTTTCTTGACACTGTCCACGTCAAACACAGAGGACAGGGACAGCATGGGGCTAGCCACACAGTAAAGCTTAAAAAAATAGCAAAGCACTCTCTATTCTTTGAAACTGAAACTAAACATTCATCTACACTGTCTCCATCAAACACTTCCCAGGCAGGGACAGTACTAGGTCAGCTATACTGCTCTTGAAGTACAAGTGATGAGAAAAATGGACTAAGAACGGGGAGGGAGAGCAAAAGCACTGGGTGTTTTATTAAAGATAACAAGGTGTAGAGCTAGATGAACACAGCAGGCCAAGCAGCATCAGAGGAGCAGGAAAGCTGACGTTTCGGGTCTGGACCCTATTAATCTGCTCTTGCTTCTGCCTCAAACAATCAATTTAAACTCCTCTCTCCGCAGTGGCATCACCTTCAAAGTGTCAGAAGCTGGTAGATTTCATTGTCAGTAAGATTAAAACCATCCAGTCAGCTGCCTCTGCCATTGGTATCTCTTTCAATAGCCCACTGAGCTAAACCTGCTCTATGGTTTCACACTAGCCCAGCCCTGAAAATCCATTTTTCTCTAGCTGCTTCATGCTTGTCTGAGCTAACTGTGGCCATCAAAAAAAGGTCCTTGGTGCCTAATAGATACTGTTAAGTCCTCTCTTTTCAGCTACTTATCTCTCCTCCTCCAATCTGCCTTCATCACAAAAAGCAATCTTTTGACCTCCCCTCTTCTCTGCAATGCCAGCTTTCCAACTTCCCCTTCCTCTCCAAATCTGTTTCCCTCTTTCCTGGAATCTATGATTAAGTCCCTCCAGTTTCGCCCCCTATTATGGGACTGAAACAGATCAGAAGTCACAAATGACCCCTATGTGACTCTGACAAGGTAAATTATCCCCCCTCGTATGCAACCTGACTGGTCAGGAGTCTTTCACATCACTGAGCACACCACATACCTCCAATACCTCTCCACTGCTGTGTAGGACAGTACGTATGTTTCCATTCTACTCTAATTACAACAGCTCCTTTTACCACTCCTACCCTATTATCAATGATTTTCCCCAATAAGTTTCCCTTAGCTCTACACTTGCATCTCAGAAATTTCATTGAAAAAAAACCCATCAGTTCCTACATGTTGCCATCACCACCATTGCAAAATCATCAAATTCTTGTCTGATAAGCAGAAATTTCCTCCTTCTAAATATTGGCAAGACTGCATTCCTAACCACTGACACCACTCCTTTCCCTAGCAATTGGCTGTGGCTGTATCCACA